GGGGGGGGGGGGGGGGGGGCTGGGTCGCTGTGGGTAGGGAATGTGGTGAGCCAGAGTACTTCTGCCGGCCATAGTGCACAGAATCCCGCATTAACGTATAACTTTCCTCGTGTAGTATCTTCCTTCACAAGCTCGACTATTGCAGTACTCTGTTCATGCTGCCACTACGTGTAGTTGCTGGTTCTGCCGCATGAAACTTTACCTCCGTTATCACGTTTGGAGTTGAGAATCACTCGACGAAGCGCCAGTTCGGGCGTTCTCTACTACGACATTATATCTTCATCATTTTCCCTTTACCATGGTTTTATAATGACCTTCACACGAAAATTTCGGCTGCATAGGACGACGATTTCACCATCTCTCCATCGCATGCTGCTAGTTCTTCCGTTCGATCACTCGGCGGTCATACTTCACTCGCAGTCCATGTCATCGGCGACATCGCCGGGGCGCTGGGGTTTCCCGGTAGCCGGCTGTACGCTCGCTTCAAGATCGTTTGCAAGACGCAGCACTGGCACGTTATGCAAGGGGCGGAAGAAGGGTACACACAAGTCGACGAGGCATCCGTGAGTGTGATACAGAACAAGCGAGCAGCATCCAGCCGCGACGCCGCACACAACGCATAGAAGTCCAGGTTCTGCAAAAATCAGGACGTGAGCAACAACGATACCGTGCTTGGCAGCATACAGTAGGCAGGACTCTCTGCATGGAAGCCAATGCACATGTGCAATTTTCCGCGTTGTCAGAGTCGAACGTGCAGCAAGTGATTCCGGATCACTGCTCATCCGCAAAAAGATAAGACCACACACTACTTGTACCGCGACAGAAGAAAATATGTAGGATGAGTGCAAAACAAATGTGGCACCGACGTTAGGCATAGGCTACTTGCGGTAGGCTATGTCCGGTTAGAATGCATGAATCAGCGCACAGCGATTGCTTTCCCGTCTTCCCGTCGTGCAACAGCTTTCAAGGCATTGGTTCAGATGCAGGCCGACATATTCACATATTTGCCGTTGACCCGGATTTACTCTTGGTGCGCAATAACTACAACAATTTGCAAGGGTGAAGGATCCGCTGTGTGGAATCACCCAATCGACGTGCATTTCGGGACGGATTCTTTATCCGGGTGGCCAAGAGTACTCGTGGAGGTAAGCACATGCAACACCCACCTGCAGCCAGAACACGGAAAATGGGGACAATGGAATGGAGCAGTGGCGGTTATGTTCAAGGCATTCTAGGAGGACTACCATCGTTTTGTGTCGTATTCACTAGCCCTTCTAGCACAGAGCCAGTTACGCCTAGAATTGAACGCAATGGAAAAAACAGTCCAGAACCAAAGGCGTGCGGTTGCTGTATTTCCCTGTCGTGAACGTTGGTGCCCGGTCATACACCAATGCACACCGGAAATTAGAATATGAGCGCGGAATGGGATACGTGGAACCTGCATCAACAACATTTTTTTTGTGGCGTCACCGGAACTTTCGCGCCCTACTCAACCTCTTCCTTTCGTGGGATGACCCTGCATCATTCTTATTTGCAGTGCTGAGCTATACCTGTTGCACAATGCGTTGCTCTCAATATCGGAATTCATTACTGGCAGTCGGCCATTATCGATAGTGTGCTTGACCCTGGATACTGCATTCTAGTGCTTGGTATTTGTCGCGCCCAACAGTTTCGTCTGGTTGCAATGCGACACCTGACCCTCAGGTTTGGAGCGTCGACGGGTGCGACCGGAGCGAGCTTGGTAAGAGAGGAAGAACCACCTGCGCACCTGTCATTAGCACAGCAATGACATGATCTACAATAGAAAAGACAGTATTTTTCCCTTGGGTGGAGTAGGTTGACTTGCGCATCAGTATACTGGTTGAACAGTGGGCAGACGAGGGCTGTAGGCCGGCAGGCACCTGTCAATAGTGTGCGTTGAAATTGCTCAAAAACGTCGATCGGCAAGCAATCATCTTTGGGCAATAAACTGCCCTCGTCTCAAACCCCCACGATCCTTTCAGTAACGTAGCAAGTAGGGGGGGTAACACGATAAGGTGTCATTCCCAGCTTAGGGCTGGGTCAAGAATCATGAACCATTGAACCATGTACAAAAATGTTGCCAAGATAGGGAAGAAAAAAATTTCAAGATATCCAGGGTAACCCTATCCATTCGATGTGCCATATACTCAGTTCTTTACGGGTTGTGAGGCTGATTCAACGAAGAGAGGTTCTTATCCCTACTTTGGCCGGACAAAAGCCCGTTGACTCTTCTCTCTCTCCCTCTCCTCGGGTGCCGTGTTACATGACGGTCACACCAGCTGGATACGGTATGATCTTTGTGCCTACATCGCCGGGCACCTACGACCTAGACTGCGTCACCTGGAGACCACAGGGCACGCTGGGCGATCAGCTATCTGGTGAGAGAGACACACACAAGCGAATCCTCACACATATTGATGAATCGGTTGGCGACGCAAAATCATTTGAAGCTCGTGGACGACAGCCCCCATCGGTATCCGTTTGGGCAGGAGCGTTGTGTTTTGTCGTTGTGCTCGACCAGGGTCTCCGTGTTAACAAACTTTGAAGTCCTCAGAAAACGGGTAGGGGGCGGACACGCCTTAAGCTCAGGAAAATGAAAAGAACCATGGGGCAGGTAATGCATGGCCCGGCATTGGAGACGGTAGACTCGTCTCTACGATACGAGCAAAGGGCGGGAAATACGACTACATACGTATGATCTGGGGCACGTTACTCGTGAAGTAACCCCACTACGACAGACCCGAGAACAACAGCATCGCCTCCTGTTCTGGCCTCACCAAGAACCACTAAATTTCTTCCATGGGGATCTATCTGCTGCTACTGACGCTACACGCTTTCCCTTCGCGCCGAACGCGGCGTAACATGCACAGCGGCTTTGCTTGGTGCCCCACCGAACTTGATGGAGGTGACAACCGCAGCCTCGGGAGCGGATCGCTTCGAGCTGAGAACGGAGACAGCAGGCACGGTGGTTTTCCACCTGGAGGTTCTGGCGGCGGGGTTCGCCGAGAGGAACGTACGGATGGGGGCTGGTCGTGCCGTGACCTGCTTGTGACGTATATCGTGCTCCCGCAAGTGGGTCTTTGCCCAACAGCAACCGCCTTTCCTTTAGTTGAGGCTGCGCTCTGTGGTCCAAGAACCCTGGTCGGTCGTCGCTTGACCTGTGCCGCAGTTGCCCTGTAATCGTGACTAGCTCAAGGAATGACCAACTCAAGGCATAAGTTAGGATGTCCTCGCAGCTTCTTCACCACCACCAGATGACGGAATCAAAAAAATCGACGGCAGTGGCCGAGGTAGCTGGTGAACAGGCTTAGATGGTACCCTGATTGAACTGGGGCACAACTATAGCCCAAGCCCCCCAAGACAGCTTCGAATGGTATCGGCGTCTCTCGGTCGTGGATGGCTGCTCTCAAGGTTGTGCAAAAGCAAAGAGCGAACTGACGTTCGCTCACCGCCGCCGCCGCCGCGGCCACAACGTGAAACAAGCTACGGTAGGGAATATTCGAATCTCTGTCGTGCTCGACGAGTTGGTTTTGGGACGGGTGGGTCGATGCACCCGAGGGAAGCTTTGCCAGAGCCTGCTTGGAAGAAGACGCGTATTCACCAACCGATGAGACTCTTCAACGCGATAGCAACACTGCCACACCCAGTACCTCTCCGTCAAAAATGAACGTGCGGCAAAGAAACGCCAACAGGCGTCAGATCGCTGGACCTGCCTGCCCCCCCCTCGAAGCGCGATCTGTACAAAATGCCTCGCACCATCGCCTAGTGCCTCGACACAGAGCAGGCGTCAATTCCGTCTCACTATCGCATTCTACAGTAGAACCAAGGAAGGGTTTCATGACGACCTCCTCCAAAACCGCGAGCAATCAATCGCACAGGATGGGCGCCGGCAAAAACGGCAGAGGACGCAGCCCGAGAAAAGGCAATGTACAACTATTCGGGTGCGAAGACCATCTCAACCGCTGTGCATATTAACAAGCTAAACACACGATCGGCACCAACAACCAAGGGCGCACAGCCCTTCCTCCAACGAGCTCAATCAAGTCAGGGCGCTGGCTGCTGCAGTACCGGTCGTCCGGGAACCTTCGCCACGGCCGCCCTGGTGGGAAGATGACCCACCCCCTGTCGGGGGCGGGGGCGGGGGCGACGGCAGCGCCGGCAAGCAGGACGGGTATGGCTCGCACAACTGCGTGCACACCAGCAACGCCTCTGCTCTCCCTCCTTCCCCTCCGACCTCAGCGTCGTACCAGACGCAGGAAGGGTCGTAGATGCGGAGCTGGGACCCGGGGCCAACGTCGACGGCCCTTCGAGTGTCCTGCTTGAAGAGTCCGTCCACGCGGACCCCCTCCAGCCGGTGAAGGCACCCGAAGTCGGTCGCGACACTCGACCAACCGGCGGCGTCGCCGGCGGCAGAAGTGGCACAACGACTGCCAGGCCTAACACGGTTGCCGCCCAAGCCCAAAGACACGTCCACCACATGGTGTACGAAGCACGAGAACCACACCAGCCCACTCGCCCCGCCGCGACCGGCCTGGCCCAACTCGTTCCCCTCGCCGCCGCCCCAAAGGCCACCCTCAAAACCCACCGAGGATCCTCGGGGAGTAGCAGCGGGGAGCATTACCGTAGCGTCCAGCGCCACGCTGCAACGAGTTCTGGGGTCGCCGTAATCTCTCCGGCTCTTGGCTCCGCTTCCGCCGCCGCCGACTCCGACGCCGTCGAGGTGGCTGTTGTTGTTGCCGCCGGTGGTGGACTTGGAGGCTGACGACGGCTGTCTGAAGGGGAACTCCCCCGAGAGGAGGCGCGCCTCGTCGCCATCGCAACGCGCCCTCACCTGCGTAGGCGTGAGTTTTGAGGGGTGGGCTTTGATTCAGCACTTGACGACAGATAAAGGTCAACAGCCACAGAAGCAGCAGCAGCAGCAGCAGCAACAACAACGACAATGACGACAGCAACGGCAACCAAAGAGAGGCGCACGCTCACGCAGGAGCACCGGCACACCTGCAGCAGCAAGCGGCGCGGATGACGACGACAACGGTAACAAACGAAGAGAGACGGGCACACACACCAGGTACATTTCCCCGCCCCTCCCCCCCGGGGTTTTCGTCGCTTGGCAACGACGTTGTGAAACAAGGCCCCCCATCGGTGTTTGCGATCGGGATTGGGTTTTCGTCGCTTGGCAACGACGTTATAAAACAAGGCAATTCACTTCGTGAACTCGGCGACCAGGTTACCGGGTTTTTTTTTACCTCTGTTTTATTTTTGGCGGCAACCATAATGGTGGTCGAGTAGATCATGTTGTGCGGGGTGGAGAACCCTCACTCCGCGCAAGGGGCATGATCGCACCACGTTGTGGGGGGATGATCGCACCACGTTGTATTAAAATGGTCAAGCACCCTCGAGGCAGTTACACAGTGCTTATAACTGTCTCTGGAAGTGAGCACCAGAAAATGAATTAGTCATGCGCAGCTGTCATCCGTACGCAAGGAAGTAAGCACAAGATGCCGAACACCCTTAGCAGGATGCAGCGCACCCTTCATGCGACTCGCCGATTACCTCACGGCGCTTCGCGCTTGGTGACGTGAGAGCCTGGTCCGGTGCGAACCCGGCGTGCTCCGTCCAGGCTTTGTAGGGATGCGGGGTCAATGGTCTAACGACTACGGCATGCACGACTATGAGTACACCCCGCTCCCCGGTCTCCAACGACAACGACAACATCAACAAACGAGACACAGACGCACACACACACAAGCACGAGCAGCGGCGCACCTGCTGCAGAAGGCGACCCAAAGGTCCGTTCCCCGCCCCGCTCCCCTTCCTCCGCCTGGACGAGGCCGAACCCGTAGCCCCCGTCCCCAAAGACCCCGACGGCGGCATCGCGACCCCGTCCCTGTCCCTGTCCCTGTCCCTTGCGGGGGTGGAGAACGCCGCCCGGGGAGCGTGCGTCGCGCCGGCGGCCAGGGACTGCCCGCCGCCCCTCGCGCCGCCAGCGCTGCCGAAGGACGGCCTCCACTTCCCGCCGGTGGTGGATGCAGCAGTAGCGGCGGCGGCGGCGGCGGCGGCGGACGAAGAAGTAGGGGCGCTCCGTCCGAAGGAGGAAGGCGCGAACATCGTCCGCGGGGGCCGGACGGGGGTGCGAGGCGGGGGGCTGCTCCGGTCTCTGTTGGGTTCACGATGTCGCCCCCCTTGCCTCTCCGCCTGTTGCTCATGACGACGACCTTTTGCACCTCGCGGTGTCTCGACCGCCGCCGCAGTCGCGGCAGCTTCTGCGGCGGTATCGTTCACTCGTTGCGGCCGTCGCGCTGCGGCCGGGGACATGGCCAACGCCTCCGTCGCCGTCCCAGCTTCTGCGCCAGGAGTTTCGTCCGAGAGAGTGCCAAGCCGGTGCGAGTCTGGAACAGCTTCTACTCCGGGCTCGTCCTCGGCACTCCTCCCGGAGCCCGTGGGATCCATCGCGCGCCCCGACGGTGCTACGGCTCTCGCCCTCTCCGGGTTCTCGCCTTCAATGCCTGCGGCACCCGACGGCCGAAGCTGCTGCTGCTGCTGCTGCTGCTGCTGCTGCTGCTGCAACCTCACGTCCAACCTCGTCGCGGCTGCATCTCCGCCGCCTTCTTCCCCCAACAGCTGGTCTTCGTAGTCAACCACACCGCCTCCGGCTCCGCCATCCGCCTCTCGCCAACCATCGCCACCGCGACCCTCCCGCGACGCCCCCCAATCCCCGTCAGCGACCTCACAAGCGTTGCTGTTGAGGAAGCCCTCGCCGTCGTCTTCGCCGTGGTCGTCGGACCCTACGTCCTCCACCTCCTCCACCTCCTGTAGTTCCTCCGCTGTCTCTCCGACCGGTCTCGGCCGCGCCGCCAGGCGAGTGGGGTCGAACGACGGCGGCGTGCCGGCTGCTGCTGCTGCACCGCCGGAGGAGCAGCCAGCGCGCTGCCTGGCCCGGACCATGGGGTGCTGGGATCCCCTCCACCGTCCCCCCGGAGTGTGACTGCCTGAGCCCTGGGGTCGAGGCGACACCGAAGAGCTGGCAGGGGTGGCTTGGAACACCGATGTCAGCTGACCGGGCGCAAGTGCGTTCGTTCGTTTTCAGCGAAAAGCACGGCGCGAGAGAGGGTGGGATAAGGTTCTTGCGGGTGGGTGCAGGGCGGGGTGGGTTCGGACCAGCACTTACGCTTGGCTACAACCAGAGCATGGTCGGGTTCGACGCATCCGCGGTTGCATCTTGAAAACAACGCCAGGGCGTCCATTCCCGACAGCGACAAAAATGTGAAGTGCACCTCGCAACGGCAGCCTTGCGCACTCTGCTAGGATTCTCGAAGCAACGGAGCACAAGCAGTAAAAGTCCGCCGCCTCTGTGTTGGGGCCCGTGAAAAAAAAAACGAACTCTGTGCGCAATGGGAAAGGGCGGCGAATATATACACGCCCAAACCTACACGTGGCCACCGAACTCAGACCGTGTCACCCGCTTTGCCGTCGAGGAGGTCGTACAGAAACGAACAATGCAAGCGGAAAGCCTGGTAACTCGTCATCCATACCCTCGAAAAAAGCGCCGATAGAAATGGTGCAGGAAGCGGGACCATACCTCAGCATGCGCCACAAGAACAGCTCGCGCGTCTGCTTCAGGCACACCAAAACGTGTCTCTTTCCGTCTGCTCGTGAACCCTCCTTCCAAGCCTACACATCCAGAGCTGTTGCGCGGCAATATCGTAACGCATCGTAGGGCTCTACAGACGCCTAACCCACAAAAATTGCGTCGTCGCCACAAACCAGGCGAAAAATAACAACGTCTCCACATCATGAGACATAGAAGAGCGCTTGTTGCTGCCACTATGCATATTATTTTTAACTGCTTCTTTCGACACCAATCCAACGCTAGGCTTAAGGCACACATGCACCGTTCACCTCGAACGTGGGAGCCTCTTCGCCGTCCCCATCTGCTCCCCCTCTCGATCGAGACGAGGCCGCGGCGTCCCCGCCGCCCCTCCCTGCACGAGGAAGCCCGGCCCCCAGGCGGGAAGGCGAAAACCTGGACGATACGCACCTGCCCGGCGAGTTCTTCCCCGAGACAGCATTCCCAGACGACGATGTGCTATTCTTGGTGCTATGACTGTTGCCCGCGTTTCCGGTACCCCCGCGGGAAGCGCCTGGGGCGCGAAGCGGCGACCATACGCTAGACCCACCGCTCTAGAAAGAAATCGCCGGGGCGGAGAAGGAAGGGCATGCTCGTTTATTGCTTGCAATACTAGTCATGTGTGCATTGACCAAGCGTTCCTTTTGAGACGAAGCGTTGTTCCTACTTCTTATAACAGAGACGCTGGCAACATTCGGGCGCCATGAATGTCGCGTCGTCTTGCTGCCAATAGGGCGAGTGCGCGCGCGCCTGGGGGG